ATATACATATATACATATATATATACATATACATATATATATATATGTGTATGTATATATATCACGCGTATGTGTTTTGAAGTTGTATGTGTGTGGTTAGAAGTTGTATATGTATGTATGTTTTGTCTATATGTGTTCTTTTAAGTTGCTTGTGTGTAGTATATATACATATATATAAAGAAGTATATTTGCCCTTGTTTTTGGTGTTGTGGGTGCGTACATCCATAATACAGCCTTATGCGTGACTGATCGTTGAAGTTTGTGTTGTTGCTGTTTTTCAATATTACCCAAGATGCACATAAATTTCTATATACATATATATTCTTACTCCTAGTAGCTATATATACCTATATATACCCACAGGAACACTCGTGCTACTAGCTCTCTTCCTCATCTGGGTCCAGACTCTCCTTTCATCCTCATCTCATGTCATTTTTCTTCTTTTTTCTCTTTTTTTTGTTGATCATAGGCTGTGTTTACTTTGGCCACGAAGATTGCCCCGTGCGTGATCTTTATTGACGAGATAGACAGTATGCTGAGTCGGCGAGACGACCACGAGCACGAGGGCATGCGCAAGATTAAGAACGAGGTGTGTAGACGTAACTTCTATTGCATTCGCGTAGATTGGGTATTGACAAACTCGTAGTTTATATATCACATAGCCTTAGATTGTGTATCACCATACACATGCACTTACACTTACACATACGCATACGCATACACTCATTCATTATGCCGTCATTTATCGCCGCATTTGTAGTTTATGGCCATGTGGGAGGGGTTAACGACCAATTCGGACGAGCGCGTGATGGTGCTAGGTGCCACCAACCGACCGTTCGACATTGACGATGCTGTGCTGAGGCGATTGCCCAGGCGAATCCTGGTTGATCTACCTGACATGGAACAGCGCCAACAGATACTCAAGGTATGTGTAGCTCACATGGACATGAGTGGTTCTGTATTCTGTCTGTTTGCGCATGTGTAGTACCTGAGTGCCTACGTGTTCTATATGTTGGCAAAGTGCAGTTCATGTGTATCTGTTGCTATCAAGTACATGCTTCGCATATGTAGTTCACGCGTAGATACCTGTTTGTTAATTGTGGTTGTGTATCTGTAACCGGCTGGTAGATGGATGCTGTTTATGTTTGCGTCCATGTATACCTGAGGTAGTTGTACATAGATAGAGTACCCATTTTACACCGGTGTTTTTGTGTGCGCATGTAGTCCTGTGCACTAATTTTATGTTCATATTAGTGATGCATCTGCTCCGTTGATTAGCTGGTTGTATGTCTGATACGATCGTAGTCTAAACGACATTCTCAGGTACGTTAAGTATGCCATGTTCGTACCTTTCGTTGAGCGCTATGTGTGAATACAGAACATATGTCTTCCTCATTGGGTATCACCCTTATCAGTGTATACATTTGTTTGAACATTTATTATTCTTTGACACTTATCTCGCACAGATATATAATCTATAATTATATATAGACTATAAGAGCAAGAATCAGACCAGGAACATAAAATACTCATACTTTAACTACCACTCCATAACTAAGGTCCTACTGCGTGCGGAAGTAGTGGAAGAAGACTTCGACTACGAAGAGTGCTCCAAGCTGCTGGATGGTTACACCGGCAGTGATATCAAGAATGTTTGTGTAGCCGCCGCTTATCAACCAATCAAAGAGGTCATCGATAAAGAAGAGCTCAGCGATCCTTCCCATAATATGCATGTAAGTGATATCCAACCGGCGTGCACGCACACATGCTATATATATATATATACTTATATATATACATATGTATATGTATATGTATCTGTATATGTATATGTATATGTATATGTATACATACATACACACACACACACATATATATATATATATATGTGTGTGTACGTATGTATGTATGTATGTATGTATGTATGTATGTATGTATGTATGTATGTATG